AACCATCCTCCAACCACCAACCATCCTCCAACCATCCTCAAACCACCAACCATCCTCCAACCACCAACTATCCTCCAGCCATCCGTTAACCACCAACCATCCTCCAACCACCCTCCAACCTCCAGCTTGGCGAAGATTACATCGGTATGGAGGAGGCGAGAGCGGACGGCCCTGGTGATGTTTGTGGCGTCACGAAGGAAAGAAGCAGGGAGAACAGGGACAAATGCAAGGCTGATGGTGGAGTACCTGGGGAGAAGGAATGTTATGATAATTCATCTTGGGAATGATTTGCTGAATTTTTTAAACTTGTGAAATATCTTGTTTCGGACAACATGTTGCTGTTGTCAAAAGCACCAGTTGTTTCAACTGAGTAAAAAATACATCATAGTAGTTTTTGTTGTTGTCCCATGGTCCTAGTATGGTCCTAGTCCTACCTGATGTTGCTTCCCATAGGTAGTCCTATGCTCCTACTACTTGATGTTGCTTATGAATATAATTGCGTCGATCTTCTAATACGCGGAGGAATTCGAGAAAAAGTATGTGACGCCTTGGGCAGAGGAGACGCTGGACAACCAGAAGAGAGAGGCTGAAGGGTTGTCAGAGAACACGGAGGATTATGGATCGAATAGAATTCTTCATAATAAAAAGGCTATGCCTATTCCTAATCCTAAATTGGCCTTGATGTGGTCGTATTTACGTCCCCTTCTTCTAAGAATCCAAGGAAGCAGCCATGCATTTTCTGGCGACGTACTGCTGCAACCTAGAGAAGCCCAGCAAAGTGGCGGGCTCCATGGAAGACTCACTCTTTTGCTGTATGTGATCATGAGGAGGAGTTTACTTTTTGTGACAGTAGTGGGTAGGGCAGCCTACTTAACGCGTTATTTTAGCAACACGTTTAGTAGAGCAGTATTAGTGGGAGAGAAAAAAGTATAAGAAAAGTGAGTGATCATCTTCGGGTTTAGTTAATGGTTAATAGTTGAACTGTTCATTGTACCCCAGTGAGCAGTTGTTTTCCACGTCTAGAATCCCGAATCCTCATGTTGCCCTGAGGATCCCTCTTCAAGCCTTCCACCTCCAAAATCAAAAGTTGTCTTGTTTTCGCAGCCTCCCTTGTTCCATCACCTTATCCCGCCACAACGTTTCCCATGATACCCTACACATTCATTGCTCATCACCTTGTTCAACCATCAGATTGTTGTACTCGTTGTCTCCCGTAGTTTCCTATCAACATGTCCTATCAACATTATCCTATCAACATGTCCTACACCACACTAACACTCAATACGTCATATTCTACATAGTTATTGCATCAAACAACTTGAACATCAACACGCATCACAACCACAGACACTCTCATGCCCACGCATATTATTCAGACCCATATATTTGAATTTATCGCCCAGCAGAGATCATTTTTACTACTACGTGTACGTCCTCCTAGTACAACAACTACATTTTTTGTAACGAAGAATCGCTTCAATAACACATACCACTGCAGCATTTCCTCCACAACATGACAGCATCACGACATAGATCGAATCAGATATTGTCCAAGAACGATTTAGAATCCTACTTTCTTACGTAGCTTCCACATTCACCAAGAATTTTATAAGTCTTCATGAAACAAATAACGAGACGCATTTCCTGAATATCGACGACGACGAACCTGCCGACGCCTACTGTTGCATGAGATGAATCATGACCTCCACGACTCCAGGCAAGGTGTTGCATGACGACCACGCACAGGCGTTGTTCGTGCGCTGCCGAAGGAGCGACTACGGCATGTCCGACATTGATGTCGTGCTGTTCGGTCTATGCTAGTACAGCTGTCTACTCCGTCGTTTCCGATAACTTCTGTGATAGTATCTCGAGTCCTCGAGCTCGACCACAACATCCAAGACGGCCGCGATCACCAGTCGACAACTGAAAATAAGCGAGTTTGTGACTAACATAAGAGGCTCTTGGCTAGCTTCCTCTTCTTTCAGTATCTCGCTGATTTTATAAGTAGTAAGTTACTCGGTTATAATTTCAGTTTATCGAGTACACGACTACACTACGCTTCTGTCAAGAACCAATCGGTTCCGATTCGTGTCTGTATCCATCGGTAGCTCGTTGAAGAATGCTGGCCCTTGAGCGGAGAGAAGCTTCTGACTCTATCTTCATCCTCCAATTCTTGGACTCGGACTAGACCTGCTACTTTTAACGTACTAGTTGCTTCAATTTTAGATCGTAGGACCATCACGAACATGAACATAATTCCACCAATTGACAACGAAGAAGTACTGGAGCAGACGGAGGACAATGAACAATACAAATAGCCCTCACGACAGTAATTATATAAAATCAACTTCCACTACATTTTCATCAAACACCTTTTCGCATCACAGCAGCGATGAACGAACACTTTGCACTCCCTCTCACCACTTGTGCCCTACTTTTTTGCACTCGATGAAAGTGACAACAAAAGGAAAATAGGAAGATAGTTGGTGTTTTTTTATGTCATCTGTAGATTAGACATGTAGAAGAGGTTCATGCAGTTTTTTTTTGATCCAACCTACTGTCGCTACTTCTAGTAGTGATCATACAACATATTGAATTTTCAAGCAACATCATCATCATCATCATCATGTCAGTGTCAGTCTCATCCCCCTCCCGCAAGAGCGGGGTCAAGACAGAGAAGCCCACAGTGCTCTCGTTCGTTCCTGGTATGCCTGTGTGGGTCCCAGACGGTCAAGAGGCATGGAAGCCAGGACAAATAGTCGATGTAGTGCCAAATGCAGAGCGAAAGTCATCTGATCTGAGGTCGCTCACGAGTCGAAGCAGTGCTGATAGCTTGTTGGGAGTTATGAAGAAGGATATCGTAAACTGCAGATTCAGACTCAGTCGCGAATATGATGAACAAAATGTAGAAGTATGTTGTGGTGTAACACTGTGGGTACTAGATGTAGTTTTTAGGCGATCGTACTAACGTAAGAATTAGGTTTGTCGTTATTGCTTCTAATCTCACGAGAACAAGTGCTGGCTCAAAGACATCACTACTGGACCAGGGCTCGGAATGCAAGGAAATCGTGACGCTTCGGTGTGATGGTGTGGTGCGGGACCTGAATACGGTGGACCAACAAGCAGCTTTGAGAATCCGCGAAGCAGCTGCCATGAAAAATAAGGCTAGATAAGACTTTGATAATCTTCGTTTTAAACGAAGAAGTCTGATGTATCAATCTACGAAAGGTTTCGTACGTGATCCTGTGCCTCCAGTTGATGATCATGATACTAGCCGTTTATAACTGAAAAAACGTTCTTCAATCTATCTGGTTGAAACAAATCACCTTTCTTCGTTTATAATCTATCTTGTTGAAACAAAAAAAGCGTTCAATCTATCTGGTTGAAACAAAT